AGCAGAGAAAAACCAAAAGTTAGAAATTTCTAGTAAGATAATTGAGAATAAAGATGCAAGAATTGGTGAATTAGAATAAGAACTAAAACAAGAAAGAGAAAAAGTAGAGGTGTCTAATAAGATAATTTCAGAAAAAGAATCACAAAACAAAAATCCCACAGAAGAAAATAAAGGATTGCAAAATCAATTGCATTTAGCTGAAAAGGATTTACCTGCTTTACCTAAAAAACAAAGCAAATTTAGATGATTAAGAACAAAATTAAAAACTGAATTCCATCAATTGGTGGAAAACAAAAAAACCAAATCCAAGAGTTAATTACTAGAATTGGGATAAGTAGATAATTAATGAGAGAATTAACTTACACACTTTTAGATTTAGAAAGGTCAAGTCAGAAAACATGTGATTTTTGTTCTAATTGTTATGGAGAGGATAATAAATCTGTTAACCAAATAGTAGCTTGTGTTAAGGTAAATGGTAAATATGTTGCAGATGATGTAGTGTGTGAAAGTTTTGTTTTTGTATTAGATATGAAGAAGACATGGAAGAAAAGGAACTCCCTCTTTTGCCTAGTGAGGAAATAAGTCAGTCTGCTTTTTATGAAAGACAAATAAATGGATCACAAGAAGAATTAGCCACTGCTGAAGAAGCGTTAGAAACTGGAAATTAAAAGATCAACAGAATGGTCAACTAACTGCTCAAATTGAAGTCAAGGAGACTAAAAGATGATCTTGATTGAAAATAAAAAAGTAATTGAGGAAATTTCCCTCTGTATAATTGAAATTCATTCCAATCATCAAAGAAAATGGTATTTATTTTCCTTTTAAAGATTTTTGCTTTTTATTAGGTAATAATGCATCATCATGATGCTTTCTTTTTCCAACACTTATTATTTTTCTTTCTTCTTGGTAAATTTCATAAGTAATCCTTTCTTTTCTTAGATAAGCTTCAAGTGTCTGAGTATCATTTATTTTGAAAACATAAGGAGCAATTTTTTCACCTTGTTCTTTTTAAAATACTTCTAATGGTGCTGTAATTCTTGGGTTCCATAGTAGACCTAATGTAAATTAATTTCATATTACTATTTTTATATAGGGGGATAGTTCTATATATCACTTAAGATAACAAATGGGATATTAATTATGATCACATTACAAATGACTAAATATTGATCCCTGAAATTCTTGGTTATACCAATGTTCACTTTGTCTGGTTTTGTTGCAGCATGCTCCATATTAAAAAAATGATGCATTTTTTTTGATTCATGGCCTTGGACTTTAGAGTTTCTAAAGATGCAAAGCATGCTCTAGTGTAATAGTGGCGGATCATGGTTTATTTGATAGTTTCTATAGTGGCCTTCTCATCCATCCAACAAAAAAATTACTAATAAAACATTTTAAGGTCACATGATATGTGTTACTAAGTAAAGTTGGGTTTGTTAATTTTTTAGGACGTGGCTACGTATAACAAAATTCGGAATTTTCAAAATGCTAAGGCTCTGCCAATTTTCAGTTTAAGAAAAAACCAGCCGATAAATTTTGAAGCTTGAGTCATGAACAATAAAACTTATCAGTTAAATTTTTTAAAATGATATAATTTTTTTTTGTTTTAGTATTTTG